GGGGTTAGGGGGAGAGCCCTGCAGTGGGGAGGAGAAAAGAGCTTTGTGTGCACCGGCTTAGGCTGCCAGCACAAGTGTGGGTTTGGTGGCAGCTGCAGGCCTCCATTCCTAATATAGGCAAAAGCTCCGAGTCTTCTGGCCTGACACCTGTTAACTAGGGGCTCCCCTGAGCTGACCTCTGCTGGGCTTTCTCTCCCCCATATTCTTCTTATGCATCTGACTCATTGGGGGACCAGAACCCCACCCCACCATCACTTGAACCAAGAGCCGCCTGGTTGACACATTGCCTTCTCTCAACTTGGGTAGGGGCTGCTAGATTTTTGAGGGTTTGGGGTTTGTTCAGCTGTTACTTGGGGAAAGGGGAAAGGCTGACCTAGCCAAAAGGAAATGGGGTGTTTCTCTGAAAAGTGGCCATTCTTGGCAGGGAACTGAGTGTGTGGGGAGGGGCCACTCTGGACACAGAGAAGTCCTGGGGAGTGCTGGCCGTGTCCCCCTAGGATGGAGGGAAATGAAATGTGAACCGCTTAATGCTGCTGCAGCTGCTTCCTAACTTTTCCTCTTTCTACCTTTGACTTTTGGAAGAGGGGGGGTAGAGAAGAAGAGATGGGGGTTCCCAGCTAGCCAGCCATTTCCTGACTGACCCATATTCCAGTCCCCACCTCCCCAGCTCTGTGGCCCCTGGGATGTGGTAGCTCAGTGCCTCTAGCATAATTCCCTTTGTCTCTCCCTCCTCCCCTCTCCCTCTCTTCCTCTCCGGTCCCTTGGTTCCTCTTCCCGGCCCCTGTGGTGGCTGCAGCCCAGCCCTGGGGAGCCCCTGTGGAAGTGGAGTCCTTCCTGGTCCACCCTGGTGACCTGCTGCAGCTCCGCTGTCGGCTGCGGGACGATGTCCAGAGCATCAACTGGCTGCGGGACGGGGTACAGCTGGTGGAAAGCAACCGTACCCGCATCACAGGGGAGGAGGTGGAGGTGCGGGATTCTGTGCCCGCTGACTCCGGCCTCTACGCTTGCGTGACCAGCAGCCCCTCGGGCAGCGACACCACCTACTTCTCCGTCAATGTCTCAGGTTGGTAGCCATACCCTGCCCTCACCTTCTTCCTGGTTCCCCCCTTCCACCCCTCTCTGCTAGTCTCAGGGGGAGGTGAATCTCCTCCCCTTCCATGACCTGCCCCCCATTCTGCTTCAGAAACTGCTGCCCACTAACATTGCTCCCTGCCCGCCGTGCGGCTTAGCTCTCAGAGGGGTGGCCAGGGGGTGTGGGCCCCAGGCTTCTCAGATCTACCTGGGAGGTGATTGCTGATACTCTTGGGGCAGTCAAACACTGGTTTCTCCACCACAGCTGGCCCAGATTCCAGGGTGCTGCGTAGGGCTCAGCCAGCTTCCACCCTGTCATTCCCTTGCCATTTGGGCTTGGTGCTTGGTTTAGTGATTAGAGCCCCAGAAAACGTTGTGAGGTCCCCGCTGTGATGGGGAAGGATCCAGATGCACCGCCATATCCACAGGGGTTACAGAAAAGATCTGTCCCCCAGCTTCTGGAGCAATTAGGGCAGCCAGGGAACCCTAGAGCTCTGTGACTTTGGGAATCCGCCACGTTTAGAATGCAACTTTCACAAAAGCAGGATGAAACAAAATAGAATTGAAATTTCCTTTATGCCATTTGTGAATCTCCGGGTGCACGCTTGGCACCTGCCCCACTTGGGCATCCTCTAGAACCTGCCCCTAACAGGGACTTGACACCTCTATTTCCCTCCAGACACCGAAAGCGCTAGCAAGGACTAGGGAAAGATCTGGCATAAGCCCCGATTGGTGGTCACATGTGTGTCGAACCTCTTAAAAGGGATGGATACTTGTTGGGGAGAGGTGATGGCAGCTGTGGACTGTGTATTAGGCTCCCTACATGCTCGAGCAAAAAGAGCAGCTTCCAAAGCTTAGCAGAGAGATGCATGCTAGAAAAATTCCAACTGTAAGTTGTTCATGGCTTTGGAAATAGCTTCTGGCCTCAGTGTGTCTAGATCTGTCTGATTCCCAGTGGTTAGCAGGCCAAAGGAGGATACAGGTTCCCTGGGTGCGAGTTCTGAGACCCAGCACATCCAGTGGTACCATGAGCGGGGAGAGCCTCTGAATGCGGGGTGGTATTAAACTAAAGAGGCCCGCTGCCCCTGATGAAGTGTAAAGAGCTCTGGGCAGAGAGGGGCAGTGAATTAGGTTGGGGAAGGAAAGGGACAAGCATAGAGCGTGCAGTTCTTAGTGAACCGTTTCTCTCCCACTGACAGAGAGTCGCTGAGGGCCTGGGGGTCGGTATGGGGACGGTGTCTGCGTTCATCTATCACTGGACTGGCCTTTACTAGTATGTGTAGGGGCTGTTGATATGGATGGAAATCTAGAGGAACCTCTCCCTCTGGAGGGAACTCAGAGCCCCTTCTCCTTCTCGTAGATGCTCTCCCCTCCTCGGAGGACGACGATGACGATGATGACTCCTCTTCAGAGGAGAAAGAGACAGATAACACCAAACCAAACCGTATGCGTGAGACACTGTTTCCTACCTTACTACCCTTCGGGTCTGGCTGTTGGGTTGGGTGGGAAGGGGGAGTTCAGGCGATTGGAGCACGGGAGGAGGAGCGGGCACATAGAGTGACGATGCTTGACAGTGGGATCCCTTGGGCATCCTGATCAGTGCAGGCATTGTTCACAAGTGTTGGGCAGGTGGGCAGGGTGTCTCCAGGTCCTGGCCTGGGCCCTTGCTCCTGAGCCTGACCAGCCCCGCCTGTCTCTCTTGGCTTTTCCTGGGCAGCCGTGGCTCCGTACTGGACGTCTCCAGAAAAGATGGAAAAGAAACTGCACGCAGTACCAGCTGCCAAAACAGTAAAGTTCAAATGCCCTTCCAGTGGGACTCCTAACCCCACACTGCGCTGGTTGAAAAATGGCAAAGAATTCAAACCTGACCACAGGATTGGAGGCTACAAGGTATGTGTGTCTGTACGAGCGTCAGAGTAGAAACGGGAGAAGCTGGTTAAAGAAATCCTTATTCTATGCCTTTACTTGTTTCAAATAATGCTTTCTAACTATAGAAGTAAAACATTTTATAAACATTTCAAATGCAAAAATGTGCAAATGGAGTTCAATTTTTCAGTCTTTTTTCTCTGTATATGGTTTTTAGTTGGTTAATTTCACCGTGTATGTACTTTCTTACCTTGTCACGTGTTAACATTATAGCATGAGTCTTTTGCCATGCATTTTAAAGATAACTTTTCACAAGTGCGTAATATTCCATTATTAAAATGTCCAGTAATTTGATGAACTATTTTGTGCTACTAGTTGTTTTCTAGTTTTTCAATATTATAATTAATATCACAGTTAGTATCTTTGTACTTAAATGTTTGTCGGCATTTTTAAATGTTCTTCCTTAGGATAGATTGCTAGAAGTGAAATTACTAATTCAAAGTGCTAGCATTTTCTTTAAGCCCTTGATGCATATTACTCAGTTACCTTTTTCGTGGTAATTAGATTATTTTTTTAATTTATTCACATTCATTTATTACATGAACATTTCTTTGAACACATGCCTTTCCAGAGAGTGTACTAGGCAAGAGAGAGTTCAAAGTACAATGGGAAGATATAACATTTTTATTGTGACATTTGCTCTAATGGAGGATGATATGGGTAATGAGTTGAGTATAGCCTTATTTTATTTTTAAATTTTATTTTATTGTGGTAACAATTACTTTCTTAAAAAGAGAAATTAATTCGCCCTCCCATAACAAAGCATGAGAATAAGCTCACTAGACCTTTGCCCCCAGATTTGATAAGTGAAAATATCTTGTTTTCTTGTGTGTTATTTTGCTTGTCAACAGACTTAGAATTTTCTTATGTTAATGAACAATTTCCATTTCCTGTTGTGTAAATTGTCCATGTTCTCTGCCCATCTACGTTGTAGGAAGAACATCTTCATTGGAACCTCTTTTTTAGAGTCTCTGATCCTCCTCATAGTCCCTGTTTCTCTCCCATCCCCACCTCGCTGCTCTTTTCTCATTAATCCTATTAAGAAAAGAACAGGAGAGCAGGAAAAATAGGGAACGTTTTAAATGTTGCTATGTATAAGACACTGTGCTGTGAATGGTACAAGACAGCGCTCCTGCCGTAAAGCATTTCAGTCTCAGGAGGGCAGGTGTCCATGAGCACTGTCATGAAAAGCAGGCTGTGACCAGTGCTTCATTAGAGGGACAGTGAGAACAACGCTGACCCCTGATCGGGCTGGAGGAGCCGGCTTTTGAAGTGAGACATCAAGGGCAGACAGGGCCAGGCTCTTCCCGGGGAGCCAGACCCGCACAGGAACAGCCTGGATAGAGCACAGCATTTGGGAAAGTTCCCGGTGTATTTGGGGGAGTGCAGAAGGCACATTTGTCCAGGTCATGATGGCCTTGGCTGTTGTGGGCAGACATCCAGAGTTTGAGTGTGAATGGGCTGGGGTGGGCAGACCTGCCTTGTCCTGTCTCCCGGTGCTGCCTGGGCCCTGTGCTCTGCTCAGATTGGAGGGTGAGTGCCCCCGGGCGCCCATGCCGCCATGCGGCTTCCGCCTGCGTTTTCCTCCGCACCCTCAGTGGAGCCCTTCGGCTTGTTTCCCCTCAGGTCCGTTATGCCACCTGGAGCATCATCATGGACTCCGTGGTGCCTTCCGATAAGGGCAACTACACCTGCATTGTGGAAAACGAGTATGGCAGCATTAACCACACCTACCAGCTTGACGTTGTGGGTAAGAATGCCAGTGGCGGCAGGAGGGAGCTAAGAGGAGAGAGAGCAGGGGCGTTGAGAAACCAGCCATGAGGTCCAGCTTTAGTTAGGGATAGAGCCAGGATGGTGGAGGCACTTTATAGCTCTGTCACTTGAAGCAGGTCACTTTCCTCTTTGTGCCTCACGTATCTGTAAATAGAGTCAAGAGGATCAGATCGTGCTATGACTCACTACACAAAGTGAAAGGTGCTGTTGATAGTCTCTCCTGAAAGAGGGGACTGGAGTAGGGATGTGAAATTCAGCATAACAGTGGCTCTTGCTTCGTGAATGTCAGCAGTGTGCTACACACTTGAACACGTCACCTGCAATTCTCCTGGCAACCCCGCAAGGCAGGCACTGTTATTCCTGCTGTACAGAACAAACGGGCTCAGGGAGGTCCATGCTGACTCCAGGGCATCGCCTGAGACCTGAGGGGCTGTTCCGACTGCCTATTCCTTGTAGACAGTCTGAATCTCATTCTAGGAATCTTAAGGTAAAGAGTTTCACAACCAGCATTCTGTCTTGGTTTTGAGGAGATGGTCTAAAAAGAAGCTTCTGGGCCATCCAGCATTTCCAACAAGCTTGTAGGGGATGCTAGGCTGCTTCTCTTGGACCACACTCGTAACAGCAGGAGGCTAAGTGACTTCCCTTTGTGGTCTTTGGGATGCTGTCTGTCAGCATCCTGACAAGTCTGTCCTCTCCCTTCCTTCACAGAGCGGTCCCCTCACCGGCCCATCCTGCAGGCAGGGTTGCCTGCCAACAAGACCGTGGCCCTGGGCAGCAATGTGGAGTTCATGTGTAAGGTGTACAGTGACCCACAGCCCCACATCCAGTGGCTAAAGCACATCGAGGTGAATGGGAGTAAGATTGGTCCGGACAACCTGCCTTATGTCCAGATCTTGAAGGTAACCTTGACCCCAGTCTCTGTGGGCTGGGTGCTGGGGAAGGAGACCAGTATTTCCTGGGACCCAAGTGGCTGTGGTCTGGCTCCATGCCCACGATTGGGACTCATCCCTTACCCTTTCGTCGCACATGCTCCATCTTAAATAGGGACCTAGCCACGTTCCCCAGGACTAGTGACAGGTCACAGAATGGAGGTGTGATGGGAGGTGGTTGGGCATTGCTGATTCCTAAAGACCTTTGAGACTGACTTCTGGGTCAGCTACTCAAGGAAGGCCTTCGGAGGCCTGCTTCCCCGTTGCTCGGGACCATAGCCCTTCCAGCAAGCACTTCCCCGTCTCGGTCCTCTTTTCCAAGTCACGCTCTTTCTGGCAAGTAGGGTGACTGATAAGGGCACGGCTTAATTAGAGTTGAAACAGCAAATGCCACAGGTAAATTCTAAGCATTATGAGGAGTAATGGCATTTTCTTCCTTTTTCCTGTCACTCCCAGACATTTGATTGTCCCTGAATGCTCCATTAATCCAGGGAAGGTAATTGCCTAATTCTCCAGTGGATCTTGCAACAGGAAGTAACCAGAAGCTGGGAAAGTGGTTTACCTCCTGGTCCCAGAGTTAGACCTCATCCTCCCCTCACTCGGCTGTCCCAGAGATTTACTGGCCATCCCTTCTCTTCACCACCGGTGCTGAAACTGCCGTGTGGGAAACGGACTGTCCCTGGCCATTCATAGTCCCTGCTGTGGTCTTGTTCAGTATAAACAGCATTTGATTGGGCGCAGTGCTTTTTTTTTTTTTAAGTTTATTTTGCAGTCAAATGCTTCAGACTTCTTTTGTCCTCCTAGAAAGGGAAAGATGATAAATCTCAGTGTCTCCGTTGCCTTAGCTCCCTGTCTTCACATCACACGGGAGCAAAGTATGGCCACATCTCAGTGTTTGCCCAACTGACTGGCGTGTCGTTGGTTTGTTCCAGCATTCGGGGATTAATAGCTCGGATGCGGAAGTGCTGACCCTGTTCAATGTGACAGAGGCCCAAAGCGGGGAGTATGTGTGTAAGGTTTCCAATTATATTGGTGAAGCTAACCAGTCTGCGTGGCTCACTGTCACCAGACCTGTGGCAAAAGGTAATGGGGAGATGGATGGGGCCCTGTGCTGGGAATTTGACTTCGGCCCCAAGCTGCTGGGGCCTGTGGGGAAGCCAGCACCCAGCTCTCCCTGTTATCCTGCTGTGTTTCTAGTGCCCAGAGCCATGGAAAAATACCCGGCCTGGGAGGCTGGTTTGGTTTGGTACTGTGTTGGTGTCTGCTCCCTCTGTGCCTCCTGTGTGTCCCTTGGCTGTGTGTGCATCACAGGACAGTCTTGCTGCACTACATTCGTGCAGACTGGAGGTCTGAGTGGTGGGTATGAGAAGGGACCGGGCATTCCGTAGGGAACCACCATCCTCAGGCCGTGTATGTGTGTGTGTGTGTGTGTGTGTGTGTGTGTGTGTGTGACTGCAGCACCCTTTCCATCCCTCCTGTGTGCGCCCTTTGACTTTCTTTACCTGAAACCAAACAGCCCCCCCACCCGCCGGGCCCCATTTCTCCATGCTGCCCACCGCCCGCATGCTTGGATGGGCCAGGGGCTGCCAGCGTCTGGTGAAGGGTCGTAACCAGCCCGCGGCGTCGCAGGTCTGCCAGAGTTCCTCCTCAGGGTCTCACTCTCTTCCTCTAACAGGTCTCGCTGCCTGGTGGTTTTGTTTGTTCGTTGTCGCAAAGGAGACGCTGGGGAGCATCTCTTCCTCTGGTTACCCACCCCCTCTTTCTTCCTCCCTCTCTCTGTGTCTCTTAGAGGTCTCACGTCCGGTGCTTGTCCATTTTGCTTCCGTTGTCTCTTCTAGACTGCCGGAGTTAATACCACCGACAAAGAGATGGAAGTGCTTCACTTAAGGAATGTCTCCTTTGAGGACGCGGGGGAGTATACGTGCTTGGCGGGTAACTCTATCGGACTCTCCCATCACTCTGCATGGTTGACCGTTCTGGAAGGTATACACTGTACTTCTCCTCTCGATGTCCTGCCCTCGCCACGGGCACGGGGGGACCATGCATTGCGGGGCTGGGGGAGACACAGAGGCAGGAGAGGTCGAGGAATGGGCTCCGGGGGGCCGGTAGGCGGCTCCAGCCATTTGTCCAACCGTGAGAATCGATTCCTCAGGCTCCCACAGGAGCTTTCCTCGTTTGCAAGAACACGGAGGCCTCCCACCTGTACACCTGCATCTGGCTCTCCCCTGGGCCCACGTAATGCATGCATGAGATCTGGATTTAACCTTGACCGGGCTCTCCTCCAGGGCAGGCTCCTTCCATCCTTCGGTCCAGCGACTGTCCCTGACTTGTCTGGCCCCCCAAAGTCTCAGAGAGGGCCCCACTTCTCCTCTAACTGAGTGTAGGCACTCTAAAGAGGGGCTTGCTAGCAGTGCTAGCCCAGCCTCCTGTACGGCCGCCCTCTGATCTCAGGAGAGGTTCTACCCAGTTGAGTGGACTTGAGCCGAGTGAGGCCTAGTCACGGGGGCTGCCGGTGCCCGTGTATCCTCTTTGAGTCTGTGTGTTGGGCCAGGAAGGAAGGAGCCCGCAGCCTGTTCTGGGTGGCGGGCTGGTGACTGCAGGGCTGGAGTTGGTTGTCGCTGCCTCTCTGAGGGTCCTGCATATGGGTCTGGGCGCTGTGCTGTTCTTGTTGCTGCTCACACTGCCCTCTCTTCTCCCTCCTCCTCTGCCCTGCTTGCCCTCCAGGGTCTGATAACGCCCCTGCTAGAGGCAGAGAAGTGTTCTGTTTTTGTCGTTGTCACTGTCTTTGTCAGCGTGTGCTCCCACTCACTTGTCTTCGTTTCTCAATGCTGGGGAAAGAGAAAAACAGAAACACTTCTTGGTATCAGCACTGCAGTCTCCTTGTCAGGCCTGAAGTTCTCTTGGGGCTCAGTCGGGGTCACACCAGTGCCTCTTGGGGGAGGTCTTGCCTCTGGGCTGGCTGGAGTGTTTTAAAGGGGAGGGTTGGGGGAAGGCTGTGGAAGGAAAAGGGATGTGCACACTGGTGAGGATGGTGTGTTCTCCGCAGCCAGCGCTGTGGGTGCTGGATGTAACCCATTCTCATGTGGGAGGGAACAGTGCATTGAATGGATGGGCCTCTGTGGGAACGGGGTGAATTCTAAGTGGAAGATGGAAGAATAGAATAGAGCATGCCCCCTCAGTTTGAGGAGTTAGGGGCTGTGGGTAGTATTCCCAAGAACTGCAGAAACATTTACACTTCTCATCTAGAGCAGTGCAGACACGTTGGGAAATTAGTCAGTTTTGCCTGTGGTTTGGCTAGGTGTAAATATTTACACATCTGACCTGAGACAGACGACAGAAGTGAAAGGTGAGATATGAAGTGAGGACGTAGGCATACTCTTTCCTCCCACCCTCATTTGTCCTCCTGCAAGTGCCACTATAAGCCAGGCGCTGTGGACTACAGAAAAATAACCAAGGTGCCATTCCCACCCTCAGACCGTCAGAGACAAGATGGTCAATCTGCCCCAGGTGATAGGTGTGTGCACACCGAGCTGAGGTGCTGCAGAGAAGGGCCACGTGCTTTCATGAGGAGGCTGAGAAAGGCACCCAGAGGGATGTCATCCGCCCCTTGCAGGGTACCTGGTTCCCATGTAGCCCAGCAGTCCAGCTGAGCAAAGGGCTCCTGAATTCATGAGGATGGGCCACGTGTAGCAAGATGGTTCTAGCTCATCCCTCCTGGAGGATTCGGGTCAGGATCAGCAAGCTCCAAGGAGCACAAGATATCTGATCTGCTCCATGCCAGAGCCCCAATCCTAGCTAGGATTCTTCTCTGCCCTAAAGATCCCCCGAGGAAAGGAGATGGGTGTTGTTTGTCTTATGGAGCTAGGAGCTAGGGATCCTAATGGGCTGGGCCCCCGGAGCTTGCTAACACCCTATTCACACTGACTTAGCCCTGGAAGAGAGACCCGCAGTGATGACCTCGCCCCTGTACCTGGAGATCATCATCTACTGCACAGGGGCCTTCCTCATCTCCTGCATGGTGGGGTCTGTCATCATCTACAAGATGAAGAGTGGCACCAAGAAGAGCGACTTCCATAGCCAGATGGCCGTGCATAAGCTGGCCAAGAGCATTCCTCTGCGCAGACAGGTAACAGAAAGTAGATAGGGGATTTGCACGCTCTGCCTCCCTTCTCTCCCTGTGCCCCCAGGGGCTTCTCGAGGAACCTCTAACTGCCTGCCTCCCCACTGTCCCCAGCCTACTGCCTCCAGCTTTGCTTTCTGGCTGTGGGCCAGGGGCAGGGGAATGTCCTGACCCAGGTGCTCCCTTGTCAGGTGCCCAGCCCATGAATTCCAGATGCCCACCATACCCCAGCTGCAAGTCCCCTGCCCACCTGGCACATAGATCGGAAGAAAGTCCTAGCTGGGGCAAATGTGCATTGGCTACTGCACGTTGGAACTATCCCCAAAGGCCAGTTAGAGGTGCAAAGATACAGAATAGAAAGGAAGACCTGAATTGGGTCCCAAGATGCCCTCTCCTGTGTGCCCACCCTCCCCTCCTCCAAGGAACTGGAACAGAAGGTGAAGGCTGTAAGAGGAGGGAACGTTCATGCAGAACTATGCTAATTATGGGAGGCGCTTTGAAAGTTAGAAATCCATAATCAGAGGCAGGGTTTTTACAAAGAGTCAGGACAGGATAGAGCTGTTGTTGCAGTGATCATTTCTGTCCGTTTGGGAGAGGTGCGTAAGGTCTGTTCGTGTTAAAGGTGAGTTAACTGAAGCCCAGTAAGGCTAGTTGGTGGCAAAAGAAGTCCGATTTAGACCTTCAGCCTTCTGACCTCTTGTGGTCTCTCTGCCCCTCTGCCTGGGAAGGGACATCAGGTAACAGATTATCCCTCTGCCACTGGTGAAAAGCCCTGACTAGCAGTTGGAAGAATCTGCGTCACTCCCCGCCTCCTCGCTAGAAGGGTGACCTAACGCTTCCCTGTAGGTGTCGGCTGACTCCAGCGCATCCATGAACTCGGGGGTTCTGCTCGTGCGGCCCTCACGCCTCTCCTCCAGCGGAACCCCCATGCTGGCTGGGGTCTCTGAGTATGAGCTTCCCGAAGACCCTCGCTGGGAGCTGCCTCGAGACAGGTAATTCTCTCAGCTTGTGAGGAAGTCCCCTGCGTGTAATTCTGACGGTGGGAGTTGTATGTACGGAGACCTTCTAGGGAGTGAAGGTGCACCAGGTGTATCCAGAAGTAATTTCCACCCAGTTGGGTGAAATATGAAGAAGTAGTGATGGGATGCCCTTGAACTTCACCAGCCCCATCTTACACCACCCTTTGTTTCCCCCAAAGACTGGTTCTAGGCAAACCCCTGGGAGAGGGCTGCTTTGGGCAGGTGGTGTTGGCAGAAGCCATTGGCCTGGACAAGGACAAACCCAACCGTGTGACCAAAGTGGCTGTGAAGATGTTGAAGTGTAAGTGATGCTTCCGTCCTGTTAAAAATGGCCCCTTCCCTTGCCAAGCGAACTGCGGGCCTTGGGCCAAGTGGAACACCCTCTCTGGTGCTCTTTCCTTGCCCACACCTGCTACACGCCTGCCTAGGGTGGCCTGGGAGTGGAGGGGGCACTCTGCCCCCGGAGATTGCCATGACCTGGGGCCAGCCTGGGTTGTGGTCAGCTGTTCATTCTAAATCCATTGCTAGCTAATTATCTTTACCATATCCGCTGCCCCACTCAGCGCCACATATTTCCACAATGGCTGTCATGAGAAGGAAGGGAAAGGGGAGGAGAGAAGCCACTCGAGGAGAAAAGGGGCCCCTTGGGCATACACCTCACCTCATCCCCCATCCCTTAGCTTTTCTCCTGTCGCCCTCCCTCCCAAAGTAAACGAGTCTCCTCCCCTTCTCTTGTTTGTGTGCAAAGCGGATGCAACAGAGAAAGACCTGTCTGACCTGATCTCAGAAATGGAGATGATGAAGATGATTGGGAAGCACAAGAACATCATCAACCTGCTGGGGGCCTGCACACAGGATGGTAGGCACTGAGCCAGGCCGCGCTCCCACCCGCTCTGGGGGAGGGTCTCAGATGGGAACCTGGGCCTGCTGCTCCCATACAGTATCTGCCAGGGGGAAGATACTGTGCTGGGGTATCGGTGACCAGGCATCTGTTAGCCATGTAGGGAAGCGGCATAAGGAGAGAGGCAGGGTTAGCAGTAGTTGGAATGTATGGGGTCTGAGCTGATTCCCCTTTGTATTCATCTGAGAATACAGGTACCTAGATTCAAAGACACTGTGTGGATAGGAACAGGTGAGTAGTAATAGTGGTCTAGATTAGGGCTATTAATCCCAGTTTTGTTTGGTAGCTTTCTGGACTATGCTGGGAAGAATTAGTTCCCTGACTCTCTCTGAGCAGTGGAATGAATTTCCCTGGTTCCCTAGAGGGGAGCTTAGGTCAGGGTGTGCCATTGGCTGTGGGGTTTTCTCCAGGTGAAGGGAAACCTGCGTACTGGCCTGATGGCCTCTCCATCCACACTCCCTCCCCCTGCCCCCCAGGTCCTTTGTACGTCATCGTGGAGTATGCCTCCAAGGGCAACCTCCGCGAGTACCTGCAGGCCCGGAGGCCTCCTGGGCTGGAATACTGTTACAACCCCAGCCACAACCCCGAGGAGCAGCTCTCCTCCAAGGACCTGGTATCCTGCGCCTACCAGGTGGCCCGAGGCATGGAGTATCTCGCCTCCAAGAAGGTATGGCACCTGCCGGCTGGCTCCCCTGGGTGATGTCGGGGTAGGAACAGATGTCCAGCTTATGACTCTCTGTCCTTGGTGGAATGGTAGACTGAGCACTGACTGACTCTATGTGCTGTCTTAGGCTCTCAGGAGACACCAGAGTCAGGAGAGCCAGTGTAACCTGTGTGGCCTGGGCTAGGTTCAGATCTGTGCACTGCCACTTTCTGAGCAGCCTCGGGCAGCTACTTAACATTTTCTGTTTCTTCAAATATAAAGTAACGATTATGGGAGAAATATGAAGAGTGAGAGTGTTAAGGACCAGTTTTGGGTGCTCAGTAAATGCTGGCTTTGGGCCCCAGCCCAGTGCAGTTATGCTGGGCCTGGGGAGATGGGGCTCGTGAGCACACTTCCGTATAGATTGGATAGAAGCATCAAGGTTCAGCCTTTCCGGGTACAGATCCAAAGCTAAGAGTTGGAAGGACCAGGAGAGGAGGCAAATACAGGGGGGCTTGCTAAAGTGATCGAGAAGCCGGGAGCTGGGGGTGTTTGAATGGCTGAGTCTGAAGTGGAGAAGAGGGACCTTGTAGCAGGGAACTGGCATGTTTAGGAGGTGAGCAGTGTAGCAGGAGAAAGCCTGGGAGTAGCTGGGCCTGCCTGCCAGCTGCAAAGTGAGTGCTGGAGTGCAGTGTGACTCAGACAGCTGGACGCGGATACGTGTCTACAGTTTTATGGCCTCACCTGCATCCCACCCTCCTCTCTCCCATCTCTCCTCCCCCGGCTTCCCCTCCTGTCTCCACAGTGCATACACCGAGACCTGGCTGCCAGGAATGTCCTGGTGACGGAGGACAATGTGATGAAGATCGCGGACTTTGGCCTCGCTCGGGACATTCACCACATCGACTACTATAAAAAGACAACCAATGTAAGTGCTGACGAGGCCACTAGGTGCATGTCCTCTGCCCCAAGACTCTGCTGTGCCAGGCTTTCTCCCCTGTGCACTTCTGTGTTGTAGCCCAGTGCAGGTGGCTTTGCCTGAGAAACTGTGGTGGGATGAGCTGAATGTGTGCATTCCTTCCCACGTCCAGTCCCTCACGTACCCGCCTCCCTCCCTCCCTACTCCCTCATTGCTCTGCCCTGGGCCACCCCAACTTCCCCATGCTGCTTGCAGGGCCGACTGCCTGTGAAGTGGATGGCACCCGAGGCATTGTTTGACCGGATCTACACCCACCAGAGTGATGTGTGAGTTTGACATGGGCAATTGCCAGGGATACTTGGGATAGAAAATGTCTGGTACAATAGAGTCCTGTCCTCCCCTCTGAATTGAAGAGGGTCTCCTTCTATTTCGAGGAGAAAACAAAACAATATGTTGTATATAACCATTTACTTTGTTCCTGGCGGTGGAAAGGCCCATCTGTTTTCTGCTCCCCCCTGGTATTCCCCTGGGAATTAAGGGTTTTCATTGGAGAGGGTGGGTTCGGGATGAGTATCTGACATGCTGGGGAAGGAGAGATGGAAAGGATTTTAGGTTGGCCCATTCCTGTGCCCACAACACCCATGGGCTCTGTGCTCATCCACAGGTGGTCTTTTGGGGTGCTCCTGTGGGAAATCTTCACTCTGGGAGGCTCCCCATATCCTGGCGTGCCTGTGGAGGAGCTGTTCAAGCTGCTGAAGGAGGGTCATCGTATGGACAAGCCCAGCAACTGCACCAACGAGCTGTAAGCATGAGAAGATGCCCAAGGTCCTGAGCTAGGCCCTGGAGGCCGAGCGGGTTTGCCGGGAAGAAAAGGGGCGTTTAGCTAGAGAAAACAGCCACTCCTGATCACTCCTCCCACAGTTCCTCCTCCATAAGCTACTTAATCTCTCCACTTACGTGTTTCCTCCCCCGACCTTACAATCCTGCCGCAGGTACATGATGATGCGGGATTGTTGGCACGCAGTACCCTCTCAGAGGCCTACCTTCAAGCAGCTGGTAGAAGACCTGGACCGCATTGTGGCCTTGACCTCCAACCAGGTGAGGCTGTCCCGTGCTAGCCCTTCAGTTGTCATCACTTCGGTGCATCTCTGTGAATTAAACTGCCGCAGGGAGGAGAGTGCTGATCCGTTGTTCTTCTGTTTCTCCCATCACAGGAGTATCTGGACCTGTCAATGCCCCTGGACCAATACTCTCCCAGCTTTCCCGACACCCGAAGCTCTACCTGCTCCTCGGGGGAAGATTCTGTCTTCTCTCATGAGCCGTTGCCTGAGGAGCCCTGTCTGCCCCGACACCCAGCCCAGCTTGCCAATGGTGGACTCAAACGACGCTGACTAGCACCCCAGCGCTGCCCTCCCCAAACTCCATCATCAGCTGTAACTCACCCATCATTCCCCACAGGACTCACTGCCTCCCCTTTGTCCCTGCCCTGCTGGCGGGAGCCAGCTGCCTACCTGAGGCCTTCACCCCACTGAGTTCGCCTCTCTTCCTCCTCCTCCTCTCAACCTGCTTATGAGAGAGAGGAGTAGGGAGGCTGGTACTTGCTGATGGCCACTCCGTTCCCTCCCCAATGGTGGACCAAGACCCCTCCCCGCCACCTGGCACTGCCTGGAGGGGTGGGAGTGGGAGGTAAGCGTGCTGAGCAGGCAGGCTGGCGAGAGCTGACGGAGCTTTCTCGTGTTGGTTTTGTCTGCTTCACCGCCACCCATAAGCCCTTGTGTTCCGGTAGCAGGTGCCTCGTCCTCAAGGCTACAGTAGTAGGGAGGGGAAGTCTCTGCTTCGGGCCTCAGTTGAAGGCAACCTCTGCTCCAGAGAGATGGTGCCATTGGCTTATTAATTCTGATACTAATTTGCTTTGCTGACCAAATACTTGGTACCAGAGGACAGGGAGGCGAAGGCTGGGAGCAGTGCCGTGGCCCTGGGGCCCAGCCCCAACTGGGGGCTTTGTACATAGCTATGAAGAAAACACAAAGTGTATAAATCTGAGTATATATTTACATGTCTTTTTAAAAGGGTTGTTACCAGAGATTTACCCACTGGGTAAGATGCTCCTGGTGGCTGGGAGACATCAGTTGCTATATATTAAAAACAAAGAAAAAAGAAAAAAAAAAGGAAAATGTTTTTTAAAAGGTCATATATTTTTTGCTACTTTTGCTGTTTTATTTTTTTAAATTATGTTCTAAACCTATTTTCAGTTTAGGTCCCTCAAATAAAAATTGCTGCTGCTTCATTTTTATATGGGCTGTGTGACAAGGGAGAGAATGTCAACCGAAAAGGAGCAAAAATGATGGGCCCTGGTCTGTGTCTGTCCAGAGGGCCCTGCACATTCCCTGCAGTTTCCTCCTAACCTCTTCCTTTTAGGTCCTGGACTGAAACCTCCGGACAAAACTCCCACCTCTTGGATGCTTTTGGAAAGGCAGGAAAAGAAGACATCTGTGTAGTGAGCGGGAACCTCCTGTCAGTGCACCAGAGGTGCCTGGGCCAAAGCCAAGACCCCTCCCCCCTGCAGCCCTCAACCACAAATTGTTTCCTCAGGGGAAACTGGTGGGGTCGGGCAGGTCAGAGGGTCAGAGAGGGAGCTGGGAGTCTCTCTCAGAGTAGCCAAGGCGTAGAACTAAAGAGGTGGAGGAAAGCTAAGGATGATTCCGACAGGGGCGTGCAGAAACTCAGACCCAGATTTGCATCTGCGCCCTCTGTGTGCGTGTGGTTTTGCCTGTGCTGCTGTGGAAGGAGAAGCTTGTCACCTAGGACGAGGTCTACATTAAAGTCCCTTGCTTCATATTTTCCAGCCTGCTCTGTGTTTGTGATCCTCCCCCACACCAGTCCCCACGTGATCAAACTGCATGCGTTGGGACTATCACAGATCTTGGCTTCCTATAGTTCTTCCTGTACAAACCCCACCCCCTCCCTCAGGAAAGGGAAAAAATGCTCTAAATGTTTGTGGCAGCTTGGAAATTCACTTCCTCTGCCACCTGCTGGTTGTCTCTGCACTCGCCAAGTGTGTCCTGGCTCCTCAGAGCTCCGTGCTCAACCTGCTCCAGTGCAGCCTCTAGACCAGCGGTTCTCAACCTGTGGGTCGCGCCCCCTTTGGCGGTCGAACGACCCTTTCACAGGGGTCGCCTAAGACCATCCTGCATATCAGATATTTACATTACGATTCATAACAGTAGCAGCATTACAGTTATGAAGTAGCAACGAAAATAACTTTATGGTTGGGTCACAACATGAGGAACTGTATTTAAAGGGCCAGAAGGTTGAGAACCACTGCGTCTAGACCGAAAGCTTGCTTTTTTGCCAATTACGGCTGAATACAGAAGAAAGTTCACTGTGCTTTCATTTCTGTAGGGAAAATGGGATTGCTGCCCTATGTTCCTTTCTGAGCTAGCTGGGGGGGTTTTGGCAGCTGCAGTGTTGGCTACTATTGTAAATTAGTTCTCTTTCCTTGTGTCTCTGTAAATATGCAACTGTCAATCTATTACAGTTTGTGTTTATGTTTAATGAAGGCATAATTTGGTGAACAGAGCCAGGAAATGAATTTTAGCTCTTAAAAACATTTGCTTTCAGACCTTATAGTGGTATCTTTCCTTGTAAAATAGGGATGATCATTTCTGCCTTGGCCCTTGAAGCAATGTTGTGAGAATGGATGATCTATGAAGGGCTTTATATCCCTTCGGGAGAGGTGCTAGGGAAATATATAAGGCACTATTATAAGTGATGTCTTTGTTGTTACTACTCAAATCACCCACGGATTTCCCCAGAGACTGAGCCTGGCTGTCTAATAAAAGATAGTGAAATTGACCTGAGAGAAAATGAAATGACCATTTTACTTAGATGACCAGATTGGGTCTCCTGAGAAAAGGAATCCAGTTTATCTAGTGAAGGCGACGTGCTGTCAAGGCACTGAACTTGTCTGGTTTCCTGAGAGTGAAAAGATTAGGGCCTGGGATTACCACAATATTAATCAATACTGCCTTTCTGCCTTTTCTAATTGCCATAGACTGGGGATCAGTCCCTTGGTACTGCTAATGTAATGTAATGTAATTGATCTCAGGTAAGTAAGATGGAACCTCATGAAACAAATGTATCTCAATGACAATGAAGTCGCTGTGTATCAGCGGCCACTGGGAGGAGCCAGCAGGCCATTATCTCAGTCAAATTAGGTAACAGGCCAGCCTGCTTTGAAGTTCCATTAGGTGTGTATTGGTGGTGACTGGGGGGTCTTTAGCCTAGGTTTTAGCATTACTGGGCATTTATTGGATATCACCAACATGACATGTAACAATCAAAGTACAGAATTAGACACAGCACAAGTGCAGGTCCGTGGATGTCAAGTGCAACCGATACCAACCTGGAACAGAATTCTCAATGTCTAAGATACAGGCCATGTCTGATCATCACCACTCAGATTGGGTTTCAGAAAGTTCCTAAAATTATACTCAGTGGGTTTATTAGCAGCTGATACACTGAGGTATATGCATCTGCAGGGAAGAGTAGAGAACAAGGAAGGGAGAGCTTTGCAGCAACCTGGCACAGCCTTCCACTCCTTCGGTTGAGAGCCAGGAAAAGGGAAGGTCAGCAAGAACCCAAGTGTTCAGGAAGACTCGGTTTTCGGCAAGTTCTCTCTAGGTTGGCAAGTAACCGAATTTAGAACCATTTATACTTCTGGTGCACAAAAGTGGTGCATTTAGTGAGCATGACAACTAGAAGTTTGTTTCTTGTTACTCTGGTAGGCACTAAAGTCAGTATTGTGCCGGGACTGGTTCTTGAGCCAATTGTGTACATCTTTTCCCAACTGGTGTTCAGTGACCTTTTAGTAGCTTGAAATCAACCGTGTGGGAGTATTTACACCACTGGAATTGGCAAGTGCTACAAATCAGCCCCTCTCCCCCTCCAGTTTGTTAATCATTTCTCTGAACACCACTAACTCCAACTCAGCATGGGGTTAGGTCTACCAATCATGGAACCCAACAGCCACGCCCTCTAAGTGATGAGAACAAAAGGAACTATCTCGACTTCTCTGAGCTACTATCATAAGGAGGGGAAGGGAGGTGTATCATGTGTTTTAGATGCCTGTTTATGAAGCAAAAATGGGTGAAGGCCAACTGGGGCCAAAAGTGACCAGGAGCCCCTTGACCTACTCATTCTCACTCTGCTAATAATCCCACTGACCAGGGGCCCCTTGACTTAATCATTCTTACTCTGCTCATAGGGAAAGCCAGAAAGATTGTGGTCCAACAGCAGATATGAATCATTCGGCCAGAACAGGATTCAACAAGTTAAGTAGCTAATCCCTTTCCCACACTCAACACTTGAAATTGGAACTCATTAAAATAAACACCCATCATTTTAAAAGTGGGGACATTTATTATGAATCACCTTGTTAGTCCAATGGGGAGATCCATGGAATGCTGCATAGTAGGGATTCATTCTTCTCAAGGAATAGGACGGAGTTCATTAGCAGAACAAGGTGGGGCTTGTCTCGTGGAGAGGAGGTTTAGGAAGCTTATAAAAGCACACATCCTTGCCATGAAATGCTGATGACGGTCCTCATTTAGGTGATCCCAGACAAGGATATTTGCATTTTATTTGGTTTGACTGATTCCCATCCAACTGCTCTCAAATTCACAGCAAGTAAAGCGATCTAATTTCATCACCCATAGGCTGAAATACCTTTTTCCTCCTAAGCGCTCCCCAAGGGAAAAAGGCTGTGGGTCAGCTGCACAGCAACCTATTATGTTGTTTTTTTTCCCGTTTTGACAATACAGAAAACACCAAACAAATATCTGAACATAATATTTGTTACTGGGTAGCATAGGGATTATATCAGACTTTAACCACCCCTATGACTAATAGTCTTGTCTGTGAAAGACAAACAGACCAGAAAAACACACACCCAGCACAAACAAATGGTTAAGTCTTAAACCCTTAATTATGCTTCCTAGCAAAATGGTGGCTAATGAAAGCCACATGTGCTGGAATCATGGCAGCCTCCCAGGTTCCTGCAGACCCAGAGGGGACGTCTCAGAACAGCCGAGCAGCAGCCAAACCTTTTTTGATTGCCAGTCTAATTCCCCGTTTTATTCTCCAGGAAGTTTTTCCTTTATATCCAGAAAGACCTCACTGAGGAATATCCATTCCATCTCATAAGCACTTTGTTTCCAGAGCACTGTTCCTACCGGCGGATCACTCTGAACGAGTTGGTGAGGTGCTCTTACAATGGTGGTTGGAGTTTCCGAGTTCTTACTCAGATTGCCAAGTCATAGGAGGCAGAGTTATCTAAGGACTAAGCTGATTCCATTATGCAAAAAAAAATTTCCTCCCCTAAAGGGAGGAAATGGGCACAAATTCGAAGCTGTTACAAACAACATGGGGTGGGGGGTGCTTTACACAAAGTTTAGTGGGATGACATAATGACACAGAGGAAATGGGCTTTGCAATTATAGTTTTCTAAATGGTCTGAACTTGGTCTGACTGCTGACATCATCAGGAGTGTTTACAGGGTCTCAAAGGACTGCCCCTGATCCTCTACTCAAACTAGACACAGTCTTAGCTGGGAGGTCCTTTACGGATGCCACTGCTGAGGGCAGGAAGCTGAGAGCGTGAGCTTCATCCTCCAGGGCTCCTTTGGAACTAGTGGTGCTGCTCTGAGTTGTCTTGTGATTTGGCCTGGAGTGTCTAGGTACAAAACATAAGGATGTTAGCCCCTGGTCACAATTAGATGTGTAAGTTCTTCAGGAGTTACTTTTTTTGTTTTCTTAAATCAAAATGACAGACCACAAGGTCAAATCTGAGTTTGTAATTTACCTTGGTAATAAAAATAAAGACTTGCAAACCAGGCCTCGATGCAATTTGCCCCATCTACCTGTTCCCTGGTGCTCTGGTCCTCAGGAGCCAGGAGAGCTGCTCACTGCACAGTTCAACTCTCCCATGACCCCTCTACTGTTTATTTGTATTATGCTTTTTTTTCTCTTGCCCCAAATCCCTTTATCCAAATGGAAAAATAGATAAGTAATTTGTTATTTACAAGCATTTCTCCTAAGATTTAAATTGCTTTCCTGCTAGTATTTCCTGACATGAATCCTGTGTGAAATATACAACATATGGGAACTATTTCCATCTGGCACAAAGGAAAATAAGAATCTGCCTATATTGTAATTAGCTTCTAGACTTAACATGTTTAGGTCTGATCCACGGTTGCATTGGTTGATTTTTTTTTTTTCACTTTTGGATAATTGAGTTTAAAAAATGTAGTGGTTATAAGATGACTAAAATTCAGCCTACAGCTTCCTGTTTGAATGACAGGAAGAGCTGTGCAGTGTTTTACAATAGTTAAGATTCTAGATTTTCACTGCCCTTAAAAAGAACTAGAGGGAAAGGGGTTTTCTTTTTTTAGGTCATACTTACAGCTTCTTTAGCAGAAGTCACGGATCCTTTAGGTAATGAAACAGGTGGTGATGGTGTTATGGATGATGGTGTAATTGGTGGCAGTTTCATAAATTTTTCATCCTTAAACATCAGAATTGAGAGGTGGGTTACTAGTTTTAAAATAATGTGCATGAGATCGATAGTCCTACTGCCATAACTACCAGGAACCTGCAGCAACTACTTCAGATTCTGGCACAGGACTCAAGAGGCAAAATCTGGAACCTAATTACATATAACCAAATGTTGAACTTTCTTAGAAACAGTGAATAATACAACAAATATTACTTATTAAAGAACACCATTGAAGTTCAGTTTCATTAAGGGGTTACGAATAGAGAAATGAACTTATTTTCATG